CTTCAGATCCCTCTTTCTATCTTGCCTGTTCTAGAATCTATATATAAGTTATTCTGAGCTACTTCTGTTCTAGCTTATTCTCCTAACTTCATTCCCTTGCTTTGAAAAAAAAAGTGATTCCCACAACATCTTCTCGTGACGTCCAAAAACTCGTTTTGGAGTTCTTTGGTTCACGTCATGATTTCCTCTACGAATATTGTGTGATGTCATTATGCCTCTTTCCTGTTTTTTTTAGCACAGGAATGTCAAAATCTCTCAGCCTTTCCTCACAGCTCAACGCTCCAAGTTCAAGAGCTTATCTCTTAAGATAGTAACTTTCCCGAGTTTCGCGGTTATCTTTCTGTGATTTCCACACTTATTATTATCTTTATTGACAAAATTTAATTACAATTTTGCCTAATCTGAGGATTTCAATTAAGTCTTATTAAAGTGAGGATAATGCTTACAGTAATGTTCACTAGCTTCAGAACACCATCTATGGTCTGCGAATGTGTCTCCAGTGAGTGACAACCTACCTGTTGACTCCATGCTTTTGGTTCCAGGGACCAATGTCTCCGCGCCCCTGTCTCTGACCAAACCTCCTGGTTGGTGATATAGTCAATCAGACTGTTAGACTCAGTTGCTAGCATTCTGACGTATGAATCACAGCTGAGTTGATCAGGCGTCCTGTGAAGACGTTTATCAAGTTCTCTCTTGACTCCATGCTTTTGGTTCCAGGGACCAATGTCTCCGTGCCCCTGTCTCTGACCAGACCTCCTGGTTGGTGATCTTGTCACTCAGGCTGTGTGTGTGTGTGTGTGTGTTACGGCCAAGTAATTAATAACCCTAATTGTTTGTCCTCAACTTGAATTTAAAATAACTTGAAACACTGCGTATGAAATGATAACACTGTTGAGTGGTGCACATAAATGGCCAATTGATATTGTTAGTGAAGAATATTGATTAAGGGAGGAAAGGTCGTTAGGAAGAGCGTTGAAACGGAATAGTTGTAGCTGAAGCAGGCGACCCATTTAAGCATAGGCACGTTTAAGAAAAAATATTAGAACATATTTGTATTGTGCAAGGAAATTTTGGAGAAAGAATTGAGGTGTGCTAACTGTTGAAAACAAAGCTCTGATACAGGTGCTCATGTTTGAATTACAGAAAAGATATGGCCAATAAATTATAGAAGAACTCGTTTACTCTGAGTTGTAGAGAAGATGCGCTCAAGATGCAGCATCAGAAACTGGGCATTTGACCTCTCCCGGGATGTTTAAAACTGAAGAGAAAAACAGGAGTTCCGCCTGCGACTCACTTCCATCAATTATAATTTTTTTGCGTATATCGGAGGAGAAGGGTATACCAAGCTGCATCCTCCACGTGTTGGGATAAGATTGGGGATGTTTACACTT